GTGTGGTCTAGGGCACAGGGACCACATACGTCTTCATGTCTTTCTCACCACCATATGCCTGTGCCCACCAGAGAGCCTGTACTACCACAGATTCTCAAAGCTTGGCTTTCCTGCCCCTGAATTAGGAAGAGACAGTGAGGCCCCACTCGTCCATCTTGCTACCCGGCTGTGCTCCTCCTACAGGCCGTCTTGACGAATCTCCAACACACTCAAGGCTTTGATCCGTGCTCTGCTGGGATGACAGGTAAGACCCTCATACGCGCAGAGCTGGCTCCAGAGTCAGTGTGGGTTGGAATCCCGGCTCCACCATTACTGAACAGGGGACCTGGCCAAGTCACTTGACCTCTCTGCATCTAGCTTACTCCACGTCATTTGGGAACAGAGATCACTCCGACAGGGTTGTTGGCGGAATTAGATGAGGTAACAGAGCACACTGTTTCCACAGAGCTCTGTCTTCACACAAGGCAACCACTCATTTTGGGCTCTTCTCTGCTGCCATTATTTCCTCTGGTTCATTCAAGCGAACTACTGACTGGGAAAATACAGCTGGCAGGAGAGAAGGCTTCCAGAAGGGCCTGAATGGGAGGCTCCTCTGGGGCTGGACTGCAGTCAGCTAACAAAATGACCCCCGACACGCAATCCCTGAAGGAACCAGAGGAGGATCCCTACACACACACACCCCGCCCTGTTCCCTGTAAAATCCCTTCTCCACACAGGCTGCAAGGTGCGCTGTGTGACCGAGGCCTCACGGGAGCGGTGGGAGAGTGGACTGGCCACACAGGCGCAGCCGCTAAGGAGAAACTCCGAAGATCTGGATGCCCATCCCCGACAGCAAAGCGTCTCAGCAGAGCAGCCCGTCGGCATCACTCAGGGCTGACACACGGATGCTGCTGCTCGGGCAGTTTCTATTTAACTTACGGGTCTATCGTGGTTTTACAGCTGTATCAGAGCTACGGACACGTAAACTTAGACCAAGTTTTCTGATTATACTTATTAAATTTAGTGAATTTAGGGGCGCCTGAGTGGCTCAGTGGGTTAAGCCTCTGCCTTCAGCTCAGGTCATGATCTCAGGGTCCTGGGATCGAGCCCCACATCGGGCTCTCTGCTCAGCGGGAAGCCTGCTTCCTTCTGTCTCTCTGCCTGCCTCTCTGCCTACTTGTGATCTGTCTGTCAAATAAATAAATAATCTTTAAAAATTTTTAAAAAATTAAAGTTTAAAAAAAAATTTAGTGAATTTAAAGCAACCCTGAGGGAGGTTTTTCCCCCCCTCAAGCAGGGGCCTATGTATATAAGTTAGGAAACACTGTTCTCATCAATAGATTTTGGGGATTCCATCATATTTCTTACTCATGGGTTATCATGCCTCAAAGAATTATAATATAAAAGCAGCAAAAGGAAATAAACACAACCTTTCCCTTCTGAGGAAGCACATCAGACTAAAGACTGCCTCAAGGTCATCACTGTGAACGTCCTTTATCTCTGAATTTAGGAACATTCATGACTTCTGACAAATCAGAGCGTTCTGGACTGTTCCTAGAAAAAACAACTCCAAGGGTCTGTTCTGCGTGGAAGAGAGTCAGAAGCACGGTCCGCAGTACGTCAGCCGCACACGCCTGCCAGCCGCCGGGAGAACGCGCTTTATCAGTGGCCAGGACGGCGGCTCAGGGAGCGGGATTACCTGCAGCGCCAGCAGCCGAACGCCTTCCAGTGGCTTGTCGGGGTCCACCTTAACTTCCTGCGCTCTGGCAAAAACCTCTAGTTCTCCGATGCTCTGGCCAGCCAGGTAGGAGCCCTAGTCAGGCAAAGAGACAGAGCTGCACTCACGTCGAGGACGAGGAAGCGCGCACTTGTCTGTGGAGCATCAGGGTTGACTTTAATCCTTCTGGCCACCTGGAGCGCCTGCAAGCACGGGAGACGCTCAGCAGCACGGGAGGCCCGTTTTCAAACGCGATCGCACGTTACTGACAAGACAGCGCGATCCTGGGCCGACGGCGCGCGGGAGCGGATTGGTCTGGCGTCTCACCCAGGCAGGTGGGGCGCACGAAGTCTGAGACAAGATCTCAGAATCGCCGAAAGCAGTGTGGGAAAGCAGGGTAGAAAGGGGCTGAGAAAGCTGGCCCCAATTTATTTTTAACCACGCTAAAGCATATATTCCAAAAAGGGGTAGAAAGTATATAGTCTGATGAGTTTTCACAAAAGGAACACACGTGTGTAGTAGCTGCCTAAACCCTGAGTGCATGACCACTAACCCGGAATTCCCTTTCTAGATATTTTTTACTGATTCTGTGCACCTTTCTCTCTTCCCTGTACTTCATGTACACTTCCCTCCCGGGGATAACAAGCACCAAAGCAAAACAAAGTAGCAACAAAAACATCCACAAAGAACAGTTTTTCAAAGGTACAGGATGGCCTCAGAACCAGCTCAGCTGAGAACCAGAGAAGGGTGGGAGCTTGTTCCCAAGAAGCCAGGCATGGGGAGACAAAGTCCAGCCAAAATGGGGGATGATGGCAAGTAAATGAGCCACACATCCTTTGGGCCCGATAGAGTCATCAGTGTATTTTCAAAAATCCCTTTGTTTTCCTGTGAAGAACACGCATGCTGAGATTATGAGCGGTGTATGTTTGCTCATTCAAGCAAACTTGTTTCCTATGAACAGCGTCACAAACAGACATCTTTGATTATCTTCTTTCTGAACAGTGGGGAAACTGAGGCCTGAATCATCCATCAGGGACTGGCAAGGTCTTTTTCTTTCGAAAGGCGCTGGCCCAGGGCCCCCTCTCAGAGGGCATCATTCCTTGTTGTTCTTAAGGGAGCCAACTTTGAGAAAAGGGCCACAACAACAGTAGCTGTAGCATCACCTCATGGCAAGACACGACCAACCCGCCAATCCCGCACAGAATGGCAAGGGGCCGTGAGTGAGGACTAAGGAACCCAGATGAGGGACATCTCAAAACACAAAGGACATGCAGGCCAGTGGTGTGAATTCTGCACTACTGCCCACCGTTCCCCCAAATCGGATCCGCCGTGAGCCCGGACAGTAACCGCGTTACTCACTCTCCCATTTAGGAATGGCATGTTTTCCCTCTGAATGCTGAGGAATGCTTCAGTACCTTGAAGTTGGGAATCCTGTGATGAACGGGCCGGGGAAAATCAGCTAAATTTTGTGATTCCATGTAGTCCCAAATCTGCTGACGAAGGTCCTGTTTGGAAACACCTACGGCAACAAAGAGTGGAACTAGTTAATGCGGCAGAAAGGAGCCCGGCCGTGTGCCTGGGCTGGGGGCTGCTGGGTGCCTGCCCCCGCGGCGCCCACCGCGTTCCATTGCGTCAGACCGATCCAGGGCTCCGCTCTGTGGCGAAACATCAGGGTTAGAGATAAACTCACAACATCAAGTCCAAAACCAGAGCAAATTCAATATAATCCAGGTGTTGAACCTAGCTCTACCGGCCTGCGGCAGCAGAACAAAATGCGAAGCGAGCCACGTACCCCGTCTACCCTCAGTTCTTGCCTGGAAACGCGCACTCTGTTCAGTCAAGGCACTGCAATCCTCGCTCTAATCGGTTGTTGTTGTTTTTTTTAAGATTTTATTTATTTATTTGACAGAGATCACAAGTAGGCAGAGAGGCAGGCGGAGAGAGAGGGGGAAGCAGGATTTTTGCCGAGCAGAGAGCCCGATGCAGGGCTCGATCCCAGGACCCTGGGATCATGACCTGAGCTGAAGACAGAAGCTTTAAGCCACTGAGCCCCCCAGGTGCCCCTCTAATCAGTTTTGATGCAGGTATGATTTGTGCGTGCAGACTGTGAACCCAGAAAGCTTGCCTTAAGCCTACATGCTTTGCAAACCACCTACTGTTTTGGGTTATTGATTACAACCTCCTGCATTAGTACAGCAACTTCTTCTTCTACACCCAACTTCGGAAGCACGCTTTTTGTCCACAAGCATTCTTTCATTATTGGATCGGAACAGTCTGAATGAAATTTACATTAGCCGTGTGTTCCTCTTAAGAGTGGAGAACTATATAAAGCAGTTTCCAGTTAGATAAAAAAACAAAACCAGCACCTTCACAAAGACATGTCTTAAAAATATTTACTGAATTTTCATTTCTATTGATCCTAAAGGATATCCTCCAAAGGATACTTGAACTGAAGTCTGTTTCAAATCACCTTACCTACTGGATCTGTCTTCATAAAAGTCTGTCACGCAGCCAGCAGTGAGAACCAGGAGGCAAGGAACTCCCCATGAGGTCATCTCACTCACTGGTGAATTCTCAACACCAACCTTCCCTAACTGCTGGCGAAGAGGAATGCGGCCTACCCTGTGCCGTCTGCAAGTCACCGTAGGGACACACATGCACGGGGCTTAGGGAATGCGCACCTCCCAAGCGGGCAGTGAAAGCCGACCTCTTCTTTCCAGAGAACTTAAGTGCTCGCTACAGTTAGACATGAGGTTCTGCATGTACTGTGTGTGGCTGGGGCACCTCTCACCGTCTGAGCAGAGGGGAGGGGCAGGTATGACCTCACAGGTCCTCAGTCTCCCTTAAATGAGGGCTGGATATTGAAAAGTGACCCACGGGAGCAGCCCAGGTCCGGAGACAGCTGGGAACCACCGGGATGGGTGCGGTGGGGCAGGCAGCCGGCTTCTCAACCAGACATCTCTGAACTGTATGGCGTCCAATCGTGTCAATCAGTAACGTCCTGAAAGCTCCTTTTTCATGAACGGACTCTGAAAACAAGCAGAGGAAACTACTGACAAGCCTCTCTCCTTGCTGCCTGCACCCCCCAGGGCAATCAGTCAGCGCACCCCTTTTTCCTCACGAATTCTTCTCCAGGTACCTGGGGCGCACACAGAGACCCTGGCTGTCACGCCCTCTCCCTAGCGGGCTGCGCTGCACGGCACACACTGCCCTGCAGTCACCTTGCAGATCCGCCCGGGGCTACACGAGAGTACCTTGCCCTTTCCGGAGGCTGCCCGGTACTCCGTCGCAGGGACAGGCCAAAGTTCACTCAGGAAGCCCCTTCTGAAGGACGTAGGTGGCTTCCGGTCTCGTTACTAACATGCGCTTTGCCACCCTCCCACTTTACCTCCATGCGTTACCCTCCACGTGTAGTGCCGGGGCACACCTGGCAACAGCTGAAGGCTTCCGCTGCCTACGCCGTCGGGCCGGGCCTACATCTCCTGTGCACGGGCAGCCCAACCCCGGAGGCCCTGGAGCCCACCACTAATGCTTCTGGAGCTCCTGGCCCCTGGCAGTGCTAAGCCACCTCCGAAGTGAAAACCGCGGTTAGGGTGTGCTCCGTTATGTTCCGGGAACACGCATGTGTAAGGTGCAGCCCGAGTCGGCTGCCAGGCCGTGTCCGGCACTGCCTTGTGCGTTCCCGCCGGGACCCCAGCACGGAAGGCGTCTGCTGCCAAACCTGCTGGGCTCTTTGTCCCTTCCACAAACTCACTCTTCAGGGCTCCGTTTCAGCACCACCTCCAGGAAGTCCTCCCCGCCCCTCCCGGTCCACTGCCTGGGGATCCCTCCGTCACAGGGTCACAAGGAGGTCTGGCCTACGACGCCCGGCTGCCCACTTCAGCCTCACCGCCGTCCCTCCTCGCTGTGGATTCAATGTGGCTCGCCCTGCTGGTCCCCGCTTCCACACACCTGCCCTCCTCTTTCTGCCCTCCGGGCCTTGGTACGTCCTCTCCCTCAGGCCTCCCCGACACACCACACCCCGGAGGCACTGAGTGCCCCGTCACAGGCAGCTGTCCCCCCTTTAGCAGCCAGAGCACCCTGCTTTTTAAACACAATTACGCTGGCACAACTATTAGGTTATTTACCACTTTCACGAACACCCGTGGGTGCCACAACGTTCCCAACACTGTGCGGGACGCCGTGTGGGGCACGAGAAGTGCAAGGGATGGGGACCCTTGCTCTGCAGAACCCACCAATCGCGAGCATCTGCGCGACTCCCCTTTAGAAAGCGATGCCGAGTAGGGGCGCACGGGGGTAAAAGGGCAGGTCCTTGCCCTTGGAAAAGTTACAGGAACACGGGAAATACGCGGGGTAATAAAAGGCGACACAGACTTGGTGCAGTGCCCGGGCCCTGTCGGTCGATGCCTGTTGACCTCCCCCAACGCGGGGCTCCGTCCGGTCACCCAGGGTCTCGCTCCTCCGCCTACCTCGGCTGAGCTCTGCCGGCACTGGCGGGTCTGAGCCGGCGGCCGTGTGCCGGGCGCAGGCTGTCTGCACGCCGCACAGCCGCCAGCCGGGGAGGCCAGACGCGCGCGCCGGTATCGCCGCCCCCGGCTCCGCACCGGGCTCTGTCTCTGCCAAGCACGCCCGCACCCGTCTCCGAGGCTCCTCTCCGAGCCTGGGGGCACCGAAGCTCCCGGCACGCGGGCAGGGCCGGGCACAGCGCTTCAGAGGACAGTGACGGAGCAGCCACCAGCCGCGAGCCCCGGTCTCCCCGCTGCCCCGTGAGGACGCCAGTGCGGGTCTCGCAGGTGGTGGTCGTGACCGGCACGCGGCCCACGCGCTCGGCAAGCAGCCCTCCCTCTTCTGCCCGTGTCTCCGCTCTGCCGGCATCAGGGTCCGAGACCGCCGGCCGCTGGACCTCCGAGCCCCGCTCAGATCCCTCCGCGTCCCCTTCCCGCCTCTCCCGTGCTCCCGCCCCGCCCCAAGACCGTCCGCGGCGGCCCCTCCGGCGCCCACCCCGCCTGCCCCTCAGGTGGGTCCCCGGCGGCCCCTCACCCGGCGGCCCCTCAGGTGGGTCCTCACCCGGCGGCCCTCACGCGCCCGCCCCCGGCCTGCCCCCCGGTGGGTCCCCGGCGGCCCTCACGCATCCGTCCCCTGCCTGCCCCTCAGGGGGGTCCCCTGCCTGCCCCTCAGGGGGGTCCCCGCCCGCCTCTCCCGCGGCTCCTTACCCGGCTTCAGAGCCATGACGACGCAGTCAGTAAGCGACGACTCCAGAAACCAAATCCGGCGCGGAGTGACGTCATCCGCTGGCGCGCTCTCCACGCGCCTGCGCGCTGACAGTTGGGCGGGGGGCGGTGGCGTCGCCTTGGAAGCCTGGTGGGAACAGCCCAGGGCGCGCATGCGCCTGCGTCCCCGCGGGCCGGGGGGAGGGACTGACCGTGGGGGGAGACCCGCGTGGTTCCGGGGCTGTCATTTGTTTGGGGAGCAACAGAGTGTTGAGCGCCTGTTCTCAGGGGCGTTTGTAAGGCGCTGGGGCTACTGAGGTGAAGAAGCCCCTGGATTCTCTGAGCCCACAGCCAACTCCAACATACTCCAGCTCCTTTTCTGTCCCCCCAGAGGCCCCTTCCTCCGGGAAGCCAGCCTTGATTGCTCTTCCAGGATGTGATTCTTCCTCTCTGAGAAAGACATCCAAGTGCTCTCACCTGGATGTGCATCTGCCTCAGCTGTGGACACTTTAAAATGTCAGGTTGTAAGGACACCTGGGTGGCTCAGTCCATGAAGCCTCGGACTCTTGGATTCAGGTCCGGTAACGAGCTGATGGTCGCGGAATGGAGCCCCGAATCAGGCTCTGCCCTCAGTATGGAGTGTGCTTCAGCGTCTCCCTCTCCCTCTTGCCATCTCTCTCTCTCTCTCAAATAAATAAATAAAATATTTTAAATTAAAAAAGTAAAATTAAATGTCCGGTTGCTGGAGTGGGATTCGCTGCAGGTGGGATGGTGACCAGCCTGGGTGCCGGGTGAGTTGAGAAACACCTCTTGATTTTACTGCGACCTCTGGATCTAGTGACTGCAAGGACGTGGTAGCTGCAACACGTAGGGTGTGTCCGTCTAAGGGCCAGGAGGTGGCTCGGAAGATGGGGCTGAACACACTAGCCCACTTGGAGCCCTCTCCGGGCTCCACTCCAGCGGGAGAGAGAAGGAGGTGTGTTCGCCCTTTAGAAAGATGACCGGTCCTCCCAAAATGAGGCTGTCACAAACCAAGTCACCAGTAACCAGCTGCTAATGAGTAGCTGCACACCCTCAGCGGGGCGCCTCGTGCATCCCAAGCCCGCAAGTACTGGCAGCTACTTTTTCAAAATTGTATTTCCAATACTGGATACCGTCCCCGCGACAAGCTTGTGAAACAGACAAAGCATTTTAGAATCGTCTTCAAGAATGGGGAAGCGAGATTCTGGGGGTCGCAGTGACTTTTTGGAGCTCCCACAGAACTAATCCTACCCCCTTTGTAATCCTATCCCCTTTGTCTATCAGGTAGAACATAATCTGCAACAGTAAGAAACACTGCTACAGACATGCCAGGCACCAGGCTAACGGCTTTAGCAATCATACCTAAATACAGACCTCACAATGACCGTAGGACAGCAAATGTGACCGGCCTTCCACAGGGGAGGAAACAGAGGCTCAAGACGTCAGCGAGCCTTGCCCAGAGCCGCCCATCTGGGAAGGGGCAGCACCAGGGCTTAATTATAAATCTCGGGCTCCCGGTCCCAGCTCTACATTCCTGGATGGTGTTCATGGCGTTCATACGTAAAGACATTAACAGGCCTTCATTCCACACAAGGAGGGGGGCCGTGTCTCTTACAGGCTCGCAAAAAGGAGTATAAAGCTTTGCTTTGGACAATAGAAGGTTATCAAATAAAATCTCTCAGGGAGGTCGGTGTCCTTTCCCACTCTCAGGAAAACCCAGTAGATCTGTGGAGAGTATTTTAAGCAAACTGACGTACAGCAGGGGAAATGTGTGCAGGTCTCACCATCAGCCAGCTGGGCTCAGAGCAGCACCACAGGGGCTGACCAACGGCCCAAGTCCCTCAGGCGGACAGCCTGGTGCATCCCCCAGAGAGTAACAAGCCACCTACCCACTGGGGACAAACTCCCTCACTGGCAATGTCAGAAAGCAGGTGGCACTGCCCAGGACATTCCCTTGGGCCCTTCATTCCCTGTTGCCAGATTAGAAGTGCCCCCAGAGCCCAGGCACTTAAAAGAATAAGTGGTTTTGAAAGACAGACGCCTAAGGAAAAAATTAGTTGCCTCTCCTGTATAGAAAGATGTTCTAGAACGTTGACCCAAATGCTTCAAACTCAATCCTATATATACATTTGCACTTGGGTCACTTGAGAGGTTTTTTTGTGTTTTTAAAAAAATTTTATTTGTTTATTTGACAGAGAGAGAGATCACAAGTAGGCAGAGAGGCAGGCAGAGAAGGTGGGGGGAGCAGGCTCCCTGTTGAGCAGAGATCCTGATGCGGGGCTCAATCCCAGGACCCTGAGATCATGATCCGAGCCGAAGGCAGAGGCTTAACCCAGTGAGCCACCCAGGTTCCCCACTTGAGAGTCTTTTAAGAGTCCCAGTAGAGCCATTTTCTGGTTGCAGCACAGTTGGGCCAAAGGCACAGAGAGGTTCCCACAGACCGCCACTACCTGCCCTGCCTGGCACAGCCTCCCCAGGATCAGCATCACC